ATGAATGGGTAAACAAAATGGGGAGCATTCATACAGTGGAGCAGTATTCAGCCTCTGAAATAAGGAGATCCTGTCACGTGCTACAACATGGGTGAACCTCGAGGCCAGTATGCTGAGTGAGATAAGCCAGTCCCCAAAAGCCAAGTGCTGTGTATTTCTGCTTATATGAGGTCTGCAGAGCAGTCAAAATCATAGACACAGAAAGTAGAATGGTGGTTGCTGACGGCTGGGGAGTGGGGGAACGGAGGATTGTTGCTTAATATTAATATCCAAACCAAGGACACAAAATCAGTTTCTCAGAACTGGGAGTCAGACTTTTCTGACAGGTCTGCTGACTTTCTAAGTCTACAAAAGATACCACCATGGGGCACACAGTAGCACCCCATTCCGAGGCCAAGGCACTCCTGGGTGGGGAGAGGCTGCCTCCATTCATCCAGCTGCTTCCAACAGCAGTCAGCGTAATGCAGCGGGGCAGGCGTGTGACAGAGCATGAGGTCCGTGGGGCTGGCCTGAGGGGGAGGCTGACAGGTGACTCTCACCCATTCAGGGACAAGAAAGTCTAAGACTGGTGGACAGAAGGATTTTGGTGGCTCCCTCATGATCTGACAGCCTATTGAAAAAATGTCTGAGTGCATTGCTCTGGGGAGAGGTCTTTTACTTTCTGAAAATTTTCCAAGGCTCCATGATACCTCCTTTTATTTTTGAAAGGAGAATGCTGACCAACTCTGTAGTCTTCTGTGGTGGTGCAGGCTGAGAAGCCAGCTGTTTGGGTTATAGCAAAAGTGTCCGTAGCTCTAAAGAAGTCCTTTTTCTCTCGGGCAGTAGAATCTGTGCATTAACAGGGAGGGAGGCCCTGGGTGGCAGGGGCAGCGGATCGCCTCCTCGGCCTCCCCCAGCGCAAACAGGACCCGCTGGGGAGGCAGAGCCAACATGGGCCTGCTCATACCGGAGATACACTGGAGAACAATGGAGCAATTTTTATAAAAGCTTGTGATTCTCTTTTGGAAGACGCTTTCTCAGTAGCTGACAATATTAGATGTCCTAAGAACACATGATTATGGCAGATGATGCTATTCAAGCTAGAATTAGGTATAAATATATTGTATAAAGTAAGATAATAAGTATTTTGCTTGTTTTTCCCCTTCTTAGTCTGTTGAGTAGACCAGATTATGTCATTCCAATGAATGCTTTTTTCCCCTCTGAATAAACTATTTCATGGATAAAATCTACTGTGGAAGCTCGGTGAGACCTTGGATAAAGTCAATTTGGTGGAATAGATCAGACAGTGATTAAATGGAAGCTTGGAAACAAATTCGTTTACCTGTATTTCTGGATTAATGCAAATAGCAATATAATAGATGATCTGAATTCAGTTGAATCAAGATGATCTTAATTCCTCCTCCAAAAAGTTATTTCTGACCAAAAACAGAATATGTTTGGGGGGCTGGGCGCGATGGTTCAGCCTGTAATCCCAGCACTTTGGGAGGCTGAGGCGGGTGGATCACGAGGTCAAGAGATCGAGGCCATCCTGGCCAACATGGTAAAACCCCATCTCTACTAAAAATACAAAAATTAGCTGGGCGTGGTGGCGTGTGCCTGTAGTCCCAGCTACTCAGGAGGCTGAGGCAGGAGAATTGCCTTGAACCTGGGAGGCAGAGGTTGCAGTGAGCCGAGATCGCACCACTGCACTCCAGCCTGGTGCCTGGCAACAGATGGAGACTCCGTCCCAAAAAAAAAAAAAAAAAGAATATGTTTGGAGTGGGCATTTCTTTTCAGAAATCCTTGGACTAGCATAGCAGGGAGTTGAAGTTGTAAAATATCACAGCCTACTTTAATAGAAAGTTACTTCAGTCTGTAATATCACGTGCCACTTTTTCCCAAGCCCTCTTCCACTAATAAACCTTTGCCCATGTTTGTCTGTTTAGGGATAAACCAGCACAATGGATTGGGGGGCCCTGCATGCTGTCATCGGGGGTGTCAACAAACACTCCACCAGCATCGGGAAGGTGTGGATCACCGTCATCTTTATCTTCCGAGTCATGATCCTCGTGGTGGCTGCCCACGAAGTGTGGGGTGACGAGCAGGAGGACTTCGTCTGCAACACACTGCAACCGGGTTGCAAAAACGTGTGCTATGACCACTTCTTCCCGGTGTCCCACATCCGGCTGTGGGCCCTCCAGCTGATCTTCGTCTCCACCCCGGCGCTGCTGGTGGCCATGCACGTGGCCTACTACAGGCACGAAACTGCCCGCAAGTTCAGGCGAGGAGAGAAGAGGAATGAATTCAAAGACATAGAGGACATTAAAAAGCAGAAGGTTCGGATAGAGGGGTCGCTGTGGTGGACGTACACCAGCAGCATCTTTTTCCGAATCATCTTCGAAGCGGCCTTTATGTATGTGTTTTACTTCCTTTACAGCGGGTACCACCTGCCCTGGGTGTTGAAATGTGGGATTGACCCCTGCCCCAACCTTGTCGACTGCTTTATTTCTAGGCCAACGGAGAAGACCGTGTTTACCATTTTTATGATTTCTGCCTCTGTGATTTGCATGCTGCTCAATGTGGCGGAGTTGTGCTACCTGCTACTCAAAGTGTGTTTTAGGAGGTCAAAGAGGGCACAGGCGCAAAGCAGTCACCCCAACCACACCCTAAAGGAGAATAAGCAGAATGAAATGAACGAGCTGATTTCAGACAGTGGTCAAAATGCAATCACAGGTTTCCCAAGTTAAACATTTCAAGGTAAAATGTAGCTGGGTCATAAGGAGACTTGTCTTCTCCAGAAGGCAATGCCAACCTGAAAGTTCCTTCTCTAGCCTGAAGTTTGTCTTTATAAATGACTGTCATAGTAAATAGACACCCGGGTTACCTTTTTGTAGGATACTTGTGCCATTCTTACGCAACGTAATCAAGTATGTGGTCCGTCTCTGAAAACAAGGGACTGCTTGAGAGAGGAGTGTTGCTGTCACTTTGACAGCTTCCTTTTAAGTGGACCTCTGACAAAGTGGGTACTTTCTCAAAATTTATGTAACCGTTGTTGATAAATGACATTTATCTAGAAATTGATACTTTCATTAGGAAAAGATATTTTTATAGGCTTGGATGTTTTTAGTTCTGACTTGGAATGTATATAAAGTATTTTTATAATGACGGGTCCTCCTTACCTGGAAAAACATGCCACGTTAGTTTTAGAATTACACCACAAGTATCTAAATTTGGAACTTACAAAGGGTCTATCTTATAAATATTGTTTTGCATTGTCCGTTGGCAAATTTGTGAACTATCATGAGATGCTTAAGGTGGAAAGTGTTCATTGCACAATATATTTTTACTGCTTTCTGAATGCAGACGGAACACTATGGAAGCAAAAGGCTTTTTAACTCACCTATTTGCCAATCATTGTGAACTGCAGCATAAATGTGATTGCCTCAATAAAGCTTGGCCCCATTGCTTAAGTCTTCACGTGTCTTATGGTTTCTGTTGCATCTGGGCACCTGCTGCCATCCCTCATGGTATGATGAGTGAGTTGGGTGCTTTTGCTGGGAAGGCCACCAGTTACTGTGGGTGAGGGGCCCAGGACTTCAACAGGTATTCTTGCATCCTAATTGCAAATGAGCAGAGGCTACGTTTAGCAGCCTACGGGGCACTCAGCATGGAAGCGGCCGTTTACAGGACACTGGGATAATGTCCTCCAGGTCAGTTCATCCTGGATAGAGAGGAGGTCAGGGAGGTCTTAAGCCTTCATCCCACATGCAAGCAAGACCAGTGCTTGAGGGCTCTCATGCGCTGCTGGTAGGAACATAGAAGGGTGCAGCATTATAGAAAGCAGGATGGAGACTCCTTAAAATATTAAAAGTAAAATGGCCACATGATCCAGGAATTGCACTGTTGGATATATGGCCAAAAGAATTAAAACCAGGATCTCAGAGAAATATTTGCACACCTGTGTTCATTGCAGCATGACTCACAATGGACAAGATACAGAAACAACCCTCCTCTCTCTTTCACTTCCAACCTCTTCCTCTTTAGTTTCTTTCTGCTCTTTAATCTCTCTAAACGTCCCTTCCCTCTCGAGCTCCAGCCTGGTCTCTCCACACGCTGCCATCAAGATTCTCAGAATGGCAGACATTTACATTCTTTTTCCCCACCGGTTTCTTGGCACTGAATCTGGGACCACCTTCACTACAGAAGTGAAGCCATTGTCAGCACCAATGACTTTCTGAATGCCACATCTGATGGCTTCTTCTCAGGTGTCTTCTTCCAACAATTCTTTTACAAATCTTTTACAGGTATTGATCAACTTACCACCTATGCAACTTACTACCATTCGACTTTACAACCACGATTGCTAGCCACGACTGCTCCGCGTCTGGCAGCGCAAACGTTGCCCAGCTGGGCGTACGACAGTGCAGACCAGCTTCCGGCAGCACTACCATCTCCGCGTGCATATAGCCTACTCAACTTACGACCAAATCGTGTTACGACTGGTCCGCGGTCCCGACCGTGGTGTAAGTTGAGCGCTAGCTGTACTGACTAGGTAGGGCGGTTTGTGCCTGTAATCCCAACACTTCATGAGGCCAAGGCAGGAGGATCATTTAAGGCCAGGAGTTTGAGAACAGCCTGGGCTCTTTTGTACAGCAAGACCCAATGTCTACAAAAAACAAAAACAAAAACAAAAACCTTGTAATCCCAGCGTGGGAGGATCACTTGAGACAAGGAGGCTGAGGCTGCAGTGATCTATGATCACGCCACTGCACTCCAGCCTGGATGATAGAAGGAGACCTTGTCTCAAAAAAAAAATTAAAGATTAAATAAAAATAATAATTTACTGGATTTTCATATACTGCCCAACCCAACCATGATTCTCCTGCCCCACCTCCACCTGCCCATCTATCTCCTGCACTGGCTTCTGTTTCTCTCTTCATCCTCAGGTAAACTGACCCCAAGAACCTTTTATTACTCACCCTACACTCTTCCTCAGCAATCTCATTCATCTGTACAATTACCCTATGAGATACTGGCCCCATTTTACAGATAAGGACACTGAGGCTCAGAAAGGTTAAACAGATGCCAGGCGCAGTGGTTCATGCCGGTAATCCCAGCACTTTGAAAGGCCCAAGCAGACAGATCATTTGAGGCCAGGAGTTCAAGACCAGCCTGGCCAACATAGTGAAGCCCCATCTCTACTAAGAATACAAAAATTAGCTGAATGTGGTGGCAGGTGCCTGTAATCCCAGCTACTCGGGAGGCTGAGGCAGGAGAATTGCTTGAACCTGAGAGGCAGAGGTTGCAGTGAGCTGAGATTGTTCCACTGGACTCCAACCTGGATGACAGAGAGAGACTCAGTCTCAAAAAAAAAAAACCCAAAGAAATAAAGGCTGAGTAGCTTGAGCAAGGTCACATAACTAATAAGCAGCAGAACCAAGACTCACAGCAGGTCTGACGGTCTCTAAAGCCAATGGCCTCCCCGCCGCATTGCCCTGCCTCCCCCTTCCCAAGGCACTAGAACCACGTGTAGTATCTAATGTAAATACACCACATCGCACCAGCCAGCTCCACAATGCCCTACGCACAGCCACTCACTCTTCTGGTGGACGCTGCCTGCTTCTCCCTCTCTCTGGATCATTCTGAAGTAAATACCAGACATAGAATTTCATCTGAAATGTTTCGGTATGGATCTTTTAAGAATACAGACTAATCTTTCAAAACAGCTCAATGCCATCATCACACTAAAAACTATAGCCAGTGTTCACTGACTGTCCTATAAGTGTTTCTTTTTTTTTTTTAATTAAGCTTATTACTTGGAGATAACTATAGATTCACATGCAGGTATAAGAAATAATACAGAGATTGCCATGTGGTCCTTGCAGTTTCCCTGGTGGTAATTCTTGCAAAACTGTAGTGCAAGATCCCAACCAGAAAACTGACATTGACACTGTCAAGATATGGAACATTTCCATCGCCATAAGGACCCCTCAGGCTGCTGCCTTTTATACCCACACCTAACTCCTTCCTGCCCCACCTACCAGCTCCTTCGGAACTCCTGCTCATTATAAAGAATTTTATACATAAGGAATCATGCCGTATGTAACCTTTAGGGATTGGTTACATGTTGACTGTTTCTGGTTTTTTACTTATATAAATAATATGAACGTTCGTGTATAGATTTTTCTGTGAATGAAAGTTTTCATTCTGTGATAAATGCCCAAGCATCCAATTGTTAGGCCATATGGCAGCTGCATTGTTCGTTTTTAAGGAAACTTCCAAACCGTTCTCCAGAGTAGCTGCCCCATTTTACAATCCCACCAGTAATGGAAGAGCAATCTAGTTTTTCCTCATTCTCGCCAGCATTTGGTACTGTCGCTATTTTTTATTTTATTTATGCTGACTGGTATGCTTAGCTCACATTTCTCTGGTTGCATTAGCTGACGATGAACATCTTTTCACGTGCTTATTTGCCATCTCTGTATCATCTTCCTGTCTTTTGTCCATGTTCTATATTGATTGTCTTTCTACTGTTGAGTTTTGATAGTTCTTTATGTATTCTAGGCACTGGTTTGGACAGATATGTGGTTTGCAAATATTTCTTCACTTCATGGCTTTAATACAAATTAAACACATCTCTGTAGCTTTTATTTCCATCTTATTAACAAGGTCTTTGAAGAACAAGTTTTTCACTTTAACGAAGCACAATTTATCACTTTCTCTTTTATGGATTGCATTTTGGGTGTCAAGTCTCGGAACTCTGCCTAGCCCCTGATCCTGAAGACTTTCTCTCATGTGTTTCTCAAAGTTTTATAGTTTTACATTTTATTTTTAAGTCTGTGGCCCATTTCGAGTTAAATTTTAGATAAAGTCTGAGACTTAAGTTGGGGTTCGTTTTTTTGCATGTAGATGTTCAGTAGCTCCAGCACCATTTGATAAGAAGGCAATCTCTTGCCGTTTGAATTTCTTTTGCATCTTCATCAAAAGCCAGTTGGGCATGTTTGCATGGGTCTAGTTCTGGATTCTCTGTTCTGATCCTTTGACCATTGGATCTATCCCTCTGCAAATATCAAGCAGTCTTAATTATTGTAGCTACATAATAAATCTTGAAATCTGCTAGAGTAACTCCTCCCACTTTATTCTTCTTTGTCAAATTGTTATAGCTATTCTAGTTCCTTTGCCTTTCTATTATATGAATGGATCCATTATAAGAATTATTTTAGAATAATCTCATCTATGTATCCAAAAACTTTTGCTGGGATTTTGATAGAAATGGTGTTAAACCTGTATATCAATTTGGGGAGGATTTACATCTTTACATCATCCTATGAGCAAACACAGTTTATCTGTTTATTTGTATCTTCTTCAATATCTCTCATTGGTGTTACGTGGTTTTCAGCACACAAGTCATGTAAACGTACTGTTGGAGTTATATTTTATATATTCCACTTTCTTTGATTGATTGATTATAGTATTTTAATTTCAATGTTCCCATGCTCATTGCTATTATATAGAAATACATTTGGGTTCTGTTTCCTTATTTGTTTGAGTTCTCCAATCTAATTGAATTCACTTATTAGTTCTAGATTTTTGTAGATTTTTAAGAATTCTACATAGACAATCATATGTAGACAATCATATCACTTGCAAATATGAGGAAATTTTATTTCTTCTTTTCCTGTTCATATGTCTTTTAGTTTCTTTTCTTTGTCAAATTGTGCTGGCTAGACATTCCAGCACTAAACTGAATATGAATGGTAAAGGCAGAAATCCTTTCCTTGTTCCTGATTTTAAGGGGAGCTCAAGTCTTATAGCATTAAGGACTCAGTCTTTCACCATTAAGTATAATCCTAACTATAGATTTTTTTGTAGATGCTCTTTACCAAGTTCAGGAAGTTAATCTCTATTCTCATTCTTCTGAGAGTTGTTAAAATCATGAATCGGTTTTGAAATTTGGCCAAAAAATTTTTTTGCATTAATTGATTAATTATTTTTTTTCTTTTTTAGTCTGTTAATATGGTAGAATATATTGACTGTTACAGTTTTAATATTAAACCAGCCTTGTATCCCTGGAACAAACCTCACTTCATCATGGTGTGTAATCTTCTTTATATAGTACCGTACTCCATCTGTTACTGTTTTATTAAGAAGTTTTGCATCTATATTAATTGTGGATATTGGTCTGTCATTTTCTTTTTTGTATACTGTACTTGTCTGATTTTAGGATCAATATGACACTAGAGTCACAAAATGTCCTGGGAAGTGCTCCCTCTTTTTCTATTTTCTGGAAAAAAATCAAGTAGAATTGGTGGTGATCCTTTTTCAAACATTTGGTAGAATTCTCCAATGAAATTATCTGAGCCTTGGCTAATTCTTTTCTGAGAGATTTCTAATTATAAAAACAAATTCCTTAATAGTTACAGAGCTCATATCATCTACATTATATTGGTTGAATTATGGTAGTTTGTGGATTTTGAGGAAATGGTCCATTTTGTCTAAGTTGTAAAGTGTATGTGTAGAGTTGCTCACAAGATTCCCTTATTATTGCTTTGATGTCCACAGTGTCTGTATCGATATATCCTGTTTCATTCCTGACATTGGTAATTTATGTCTTTTCTCTTTTTCTTTGTCAGCCTTCCTAGAGGTTCGTCAATTTTGAATTTTGTTGATCTTTCCAAAGAACCATCTCTTTATTAATGTCCTCTTTCCTTTTTTTGTTTTCAGGTTAAACGATTTCTGCTCTTACCTTTATTGTTTTCTTCCTTCTTGCTTTCGGTTTATTTTGCTCTTCTTTTTCTAGGTTCTTGGAGTAGGAACTTAAAGCTCAGTCTTTTCCTCTTTCCTACGGCATGCATTCAGCGCTATACATTTCCCTATTAGCACTCCTTTAGCTATGCTAACAAATTTTGATATGCTGTATTTTTAAATTTCATTTAGTGCAATGTATTTGGAAGTGTGTTTTAGTTTCCAAGTGTTTGCAGATTTTCCTATTATCTTTCTGCTATTTATTTCTAGTTTGATTTTATTATGGCCAGAGAACACAACTATTATTTTATTCTTTGAAATGTACTGAGGCTTGTTTTATGGCTTATGTATTAAGATGTCATTTTACTCTTATGTTTTGACATCAGAATAATGTCTGTGGACTTACTAACCCTGGGGAGACTGTCCCTCCCATGGCCAGCTAATTCCTAGAGATGGCAAACAACTCCCTGTGAATGCATCAATCATGTGCAAACCAATCAATCCAACCTAGACCCTAACCACCCCCTTCACCAGTCGCTCACAGAGATTTCACATTCTAGGTCACTGTCTTCCTGCCCTGATCGTCCCAGGACCAAGTACCAAACCAATGGGGATAGCCCCTATGCCTCAGAGGCCCCTGAAATTTTCACACTAGCCAATCCCAAGTCTGTTAAGCCTGCGTATTCTGCCTGGCTTTTCCAGAGAAACCACACTAAAGGCTCTTGCCCACATTTTCCCCGACCCCGTCTGCCTCCTGGCTGACTCTGGTGCTTTTCCACGTGGCCCTGCATGGTGTGTTTGCTCCCTACTTCGAGAGCACTGTGAGTAAAAACCTTTTTCTTCATGGCAGTCATTCCCATGTCTGCATTTCTTATCACAGCTGATTAAAACAAATCCTTGGTACACATTCATTGCACTAGCAAAGAATATATGTTTCAGTGTTGTTGGGTGAAGTGCGCAGTAAATGCCAGTTAGAGCCTGTTGGTTGATGGGGTTGCTAAGTTCTTATATGTCCTCGCTGGTTTTCTGCCTAGTTTTTCTATCAGTTATTGAGAGGGGATATTCAAATGTTCATCTATATTTGTGGGTATGTCTATTTCTTCTTTCAGTTCCATCAGTTTTTGCATCACTTATTTTTCAGGTTTGTTATTTGGTGCATACACATTTAAGACTGCTATGTATTTTTAGTGAATTGGCACTTTTAGCATTATATGACGTCTGTCTCTGTCTTGTGATTTTCTTTGCTCTGAAGTCTACATGCTATGACTTTTTCTATTCTTTTACTTTTAACTTGCCTATGTCATTAAATTTGAAGTGACTTTCTTATAGACAGCACATAGTTTGGTAACGTGATTTAGTACACTTTGTTAATCTTTCAATGGATATATTTAGACCAATTATATTTAATGTAATTTTTGACGTTTTAAGGCTTAGATCTGCCATTTTATTTTTTCTTTTCTGTTTGTTATGTCTGCTTTTATTTCTGTTTTCCTCATGCTTTTCTGTGGTTTGCTTAAATGTTTTTTAGAATTCTATTTTTATGTATCTATTATTTTTGTATGTATCTTTCTGGAGCATTTTTAGTGGTTGTCCTAGGTATTGCATTGTATTTACATAACTTATCACTTTACCAGGTTGAGTGACATATAGAAACCTTACTTCCCATTATGTCCCTTAACCCTTCTCTATTTGTAATTGTCTTAGATGTTTCCTCTACATATATTTAGGACCACATCCGTCAGTGTTATAATTTTTCTCTCAACTGTTAAATATAATTTAGAAAACACAAGAGAAGAAGGAAAACTTATTGTATTTACCCATATTGTTGTTTACCATGTTCTTTCTTCCTTTCTGATGTTCTAAGACGCCTTCTTTTATCATTTTCTTTCTGAATATAGAACTTCTGCTGGTCCCCAGAACTCTGCTCATTTGTTTTCAGTCTCTATTCTGTTGTTTAGATTGAGTGGTTTCTATTGTTTTGGTCCACTAATTCCTTCTATTGTTAGTTTTTGTATTTTTATTTTAGTTATTGTATTTTTTGGTTCCAAAATTGCCATTTGTTTCTTCTCTATATCATCTATTTCTTTGCTGACATTTTCTATTTCTTTGCTGAGTCTTTCTATTTCTGTTGAAAACATGGGGACCTATATTACTATAACAAAAGCCTTGACATTTGTGCATCAGAATCCCAGAAATTGAGGAGAAAAAGGGCAGGACTGAAAAAAGCACTTGAAAAAATAAAGATGGAAAACCTTCCAAATTTTGCAAGAGATCCATATCCACAGATTCAAGAAGTGAACCCTAAATAAAATAAACCCAAATTCACTGGAAGTCTTTTAATCATGACTGCCTTAAGATCTTTGTCAGATTATTCTAACATCTCTGTCATCTTGGTATTAGCGTCCACTGATTGTTTTGTTTATTCAGGTTGAGGTCTTGGTTCTCAGTATGACAAGAGATTTTCAGTTAAAACCTGGACATTCTGACCAGGCACAGTGGCTCATACCTGTAATCCCACACTTTGGGAGGCAGAGGTGGGTGGATCTCCTGAGGTCAAGAGTGTGATACCAGCCTGGCCAACATGGTGAAACCCCATCTCTACTAAAAAAAAAAAAAAAAAGTTGGGCATGGTGGTGGGTGCCTGTAATCCCAGCTACTCAATAGGCTGAGGCAGGAGAATCACTTGAACCCAGGAGGAGAAGTTTGCAGTGAGATGAGATCATGCTACTGTGCTCCAGCCTGGGCAACAACTATCTAAAAAAAAAAATCTATCTAAAAAAAAAAAAAACTAGACACTCTGGGTGTTATGTCATAAGACTCTGGATCGCCCTTAAACTCTCTGTTTTTACTGGCTTTCTGTATCACCACTCCAGAGGGGAAGGGATGGGTGCCACCTCATGCTGTCAGATGGAGGTAGAAGTCCAGGTTTTCCTCTTGGCCTCCATTGACACCCAAGGTGAGGAGAGGCTCCTTGTCAGGCAGGGTTGACAGTTCCAGCTCTCAGTGTAATCTCCACCAACACCATGGTGGGGATGGCCCCTTTTCTAGTGGGCAGTGATGAAAGTCCTGACTCTCCACTAGACCTTCTTTGACACCACCTGGGGGAGAGACAGGGGTGCCTCCTTACTGCTAGATGGGATGGGGTCCAGACTCCCAACATGGCCACCACTAACATCATGTAGCAGGAGGGTCTTGTTGCCTGCTGGGACAAGAGTCCAAGCTCCCTACCAGGCTTTTGCTGACACTGTCCTCATGGGGATGTTGGGGCATCCTATTACAGCCTTGCTAGGGCAGAAATCTGGGCAACCTGTTTGGCCTTTGCTGGCATGGGTGGTAGCAGGGACAAAGTTTTTTCTGGGATATTTGGCTAAAGTAGAGTGGTTATTGTCTAAAATTTTTATGTCTTGCTAGGCTTCCCCTTTACTGGCTCTTTGATGGGAGACAGAAGGCTTTTCCTGGCTTGTCTGTGAGTTTGTTCTCTTTTTGTTGACACCATCTGTGTTTTCGGTCACTGGCCTCCCAACCCCTCCAACCCCACTCCAGCCTCAGTTTCCCAATTCATCTCTCAGTCTGTGAGAGAGTGATGGGGAGTCTCCATGCTCCCCATTTTCAACCTTCCCGAGGGCACTTGCTGTTTCTCAAAGATGATTTTCTTATCCCCACCTCTCAGCATTGCACAAGCTTTCTTCTACCTGGAACGGCCTGCCTGCCTGTCCCCTCCTCCAGCCTGCCCTTCTAGATGAGTTCAAAGTCTTCTTGAGGATTCTCCCGCCTTCCCCACTAGGCAGTGTCATCCCTCCTGACCCTCCTCCCCAGGGTGCTCTGAGGGTGTTTCCGCTTTCCTAAGTTCTCTCTGCTTCTCCACTCGGGCAGGGGCTCCTGTACAGAGAAGAGCTGACCTCATTCCCTTTGCTCCTGCCTCAACATGAGCCTTCACATACTGAGCACCAAATGGATGTTGAAATCATCGGCATCTGAAATACCAATCATTTTTCTCCTGACTTTGTGGTGTGGCTGTTGGGAAGGGAAGAAGGCTCATTGGCTTCCTTACTGTGGAGGACCTGCGGGTAGCTTTCTGAAGCCCTGTGAATAACCTCCCTAAGCGCCAGAACTGCTGTTGCCATGGTTTCTCCCACCCATGAGGAGTACTTAGGTGAATGCTGATGGAAGAACAGAGCAGGCTGGCCAAGGCCTTTTCAGGTCATTTTAACAGGGAAAAAGTTGGTGAAGTAACAGAAGGCCTTGAAATCATTCAGACGACAGAGTGCAGTGGGAAAAATCTCACCAAGATGAGAAATGAAATTAACTGTGAAACTACAGCCAAGAATCTCTTTAAAGATAACACTACAGACAGCAGAGACTCTATCATTAATCAGCCTCAGAAATGTGAAGTGCTTGTCAACCTAAATTATGTCTAGGTATGATTTATTAGACAGACACAAATTTATTTCTAGCTTTTTCCTAACCTAACTTTTAAGTTTATAGATTCAGGACTAATATGGTGTTTTAAATTGTGGTTAGCCGTAAGCTGTAAATAATTATTTCTTTGTATGCCATTTACTCTCATTCAACTTTTATTAACTTAGACATTCGTTTTCTATTTGAAATATATTAATACAACATGAGACAGTCTCTTCCGACTGGTAGCCAGTAGCTATTCAACTCTTCAATGTTCGCTAAAGAGAAGGCATAAATCCAGAGGGGGATTGACTGCTTCTGGCCCTAAGGGAGACCCATGAGTGGTCTTGTACACTGCTCATGAAGGGGTATGCCTGGTACTTGTCAAAAACTAATATTTAACTTCAGAATTAATATCAGAGAGAGGCTCTTGGCTGAAAGTGCTCCAGAGGCGCTAACCTCCTTAACAGAGGTATGGGATTTGAAATTTATCATGTTGTGTTTCCTCCCCATACACCACATTTCTACATGCTGAAGACAGACACCTTTCAGTTGGAGCTAATGTTAATGGGATCAAGATCTTAAGTTTCCCCAGCAGCACATTTGTCAAAATAGTGCTGTCCTAATTGGTTCAGGCCACTATAAGAGAATACCATAGACTGGGTGGCCTATAAACCACAGAAATTTATTTTTCACAGTTCTGGATGCTGGAAGTCCAAGTTCAGACATCAGGAGATTTGGTGTCTGCCTCCTGGTTCACAGACTGGGCCTTCTTACCGTACTGTCCAGTGGCTGAAGGGCAAGGGAGTGCTCCGGGATCTGTTTCTTAAGGACACTAATTCTGTTCCCCTTTAGCACCCCCACAAGACCCCACCTCCTAATTGGGGGTTAGGATTTCAACATAGGAATTTCAGGGGAGGATGCAAACATTCAATCCATAGCAAGTGCTAAGTCCGGCTATAAGATCACAAGAATCAAATCAATATAGACTACAGCCCATGGTTTCCCAAACCTACTGGATCGAACTTCTGGTCCCACAACCCAGAAATCTGTATTTTTAACAAACTTAGGAGCTGATTTTTTTTTTTGAGACCGAGTTTTGCTCTTGTTAACCAGGGTGGAGTGCAATGACTCAATCTCAGTTCACCACAACCTCCACCTCCTGGGTTCAAGCGATTCTCCTGCCTCAGCCTCCAGCGTAGCTAGGCTTACAGGAACCTGCCACCACATCCAGCTAATTTTTTGTGTTTTTAGTAGAGACAGGGTTTCACCATATTGGCCAGGCTGGTCTCGAACCCCTGACCTCTAGTGATCCACCCACTTTGGCCTCCCAAAGGGCTGGGATGACAGGCGTGAGCCACTGTGCGTGGCCAGGAGTTGATTTTTAATCAGCCAGCCTCATTCCAGGTTGCATGGAGCAGCAAAATGCTCCCATTTCAGCGCGCCTAAGAATCACCCAGTGGTGTTGTTTAAAATGTCCATCCCAGCGCCCACCTTCGGAAGGTTGAATTCAGTCAGCCTGGGGTGGGCTTGGGAATCTGCACTTTGATAAGTTCCTCAGGTCATCTTTATCTCATGCTGGTTTTCAGAAACGCTCCCAGACACATGCCATTTCAAGCGGCCAGTGGAAATACATGTGCTTCTCTGAAACAGTTCCACTCTGGACACGCAGCTGTGAAGTGTGTGCTGCATTCCGCCATTGGTGCGTAATCACTCTAGATAGACTCTTTCAGCCCTATGGACTCAAAACATGAGTTTGTCCTTTCAGCAAGCTGTTCCATGCTGGGATGGGGGTGGTGGGGTCAGGCAGTCCCCGCCCTGGGTGTGCCACCATGTCACCAGCTGCTGCCCACCCCCCGCCTGCCCTGCGTACCTCCCCACCAAGGACTTCCCCAGGCTCGATCTCTAGGCATTGGGTGGGCGGTTAGAGATGGAAAGAACGATAAGTCGTTCTTTCCAACACCCTGCAGTCAGCGAGGAACCACATGAAAGCCCTCGGGGAAATGCCTTTCGGGATCTACTTTTCGTCTGTATCCTACTTAGCCTATCAGTTTCTGCTTCCTGTGGGGCTACAGCCCTCGCTTCTTTTTCTGCCAACTCCTTTGCTCTGTTCTCCAGTGGCTATCTTCTTTCTCCTTTCTTTCAAGTGTTCTCCCTTATCTTCTCTGATACAGACAACAGGTCAGGAGCCACGCCCATCACACTGCTAGAACCCAGTGTCCTGATGCGCTCTGTGCCTCCCAGATTCGGATGGGGCTGCGAGGCGGGCTGGCCAGAGAGCAGTCATGTCAGCCAGGGTCATTATTCCCATCTTCTCTCTGAGGACAGAAGTAGGGAGACTTCCAGCCCCAGATGTTCCTTCTTCCAGCTATGGCTGCCTCCATCCTGCAGAGTGCGCCTTTAACTTGGAGATCCTAATGCCCTGGTCCTGTGCCAGGCACCGCACACGTTCCCCGTGGAGGACGGTTCACCCTCCCCTTGCAGAAGAGGAAGGACACGCAGAAGGCTGAGCGGTTCTGCCTAAGGCCACCGAGTTGCTAAGGAAAGAAGCGGGCTCCAATTCCTGCCTCACTGACTCTGGGATGTGAAATGGGAAAGGATGAGGCAGCAAGTCCAGCTGGCCTGGAGGGCTTTTCCCAGGTGCTCTCTTAGGTTCTCCCTCAAACACCCCTCCTGGTGCACTCAGGAGAGCGCACAGGGCAAGGCGGGAAGCCGCCTGTGACCTGGGTGAGACAGGGAGGACCCCAAAGGCCTCCTGCCTGGTATAGGTGCGTTTTCTCTCTCCCAGGTGGCTAGAATAAGAATCTGATCAGATTTCATCAAAAGTCAGGTTGGCCTGAGACTCAGCTGCAGTGTTCACTAAATTGAACACTGGTATCTAATGGAAACAAGGACATTTTACTTTGCTCCTCAGCCTAACCTCAATCTCCTATGTCACCACTGTATAATGGCTAATTTGTTTGGTTTTATTGGTGTTTGAGCTGGAAGCAGGTTGAGACAGATTTCATATCATTTGGCTTCTAGTAAAGCTCACAACTCAATAAATGAAAATTTATACCCATTCATGAATTAAAACTTAAAAATCTATCCTAAATAAGTTTCACATAATAGGTCATCTGAAATAATAAAAATATTATTTATAAGGGAAATTAAAAAGCATTAGTAAGTAAAATAAGATTTTTCAACATTATCTGCTATATAATTTTAAGTCATCGAGCAGGTTGCTTCTGGTTGAAGTAATGGTGAGCTACTTCATTGAAGACAAACGCTACTGCTGAGAACAGGAGAAGCTGAACAAGGCAGAGAAAACATCTGTTTGGAATCATCAGAGAGCTGCTGAAGTAGCAAGGGCTTGAAGGGCCGAGAGCCCAGAGAGAAAGACAAAACAAAGAGGTAAGACAGTTGCCAATCTGCAAAACAAAGAATAAATGAGCAAACAAAAACCGTAAGTAGATACCCCAGACTTTCAATTCAGACCTTGAAAGGGATTGCCGAGAGGACTCACCTGAAATCAGCTGATGCTCACCAAGACCAAAGCCAAGCTTTGAATTCGCTTAAACTTTGGCTGGATTATTGATACTTTTCCTACCCCAACTGCCTTCCAGAAGCAAAAATAAATCCTGCTGGGAGAAGTTAGCATTGGCCTGGGGCTCCACGTGCTGCATTCACATTCATCCTTCTACTGGTCACCCATAGAGACACCCGATACTCACAGTGCCAACCTCGAATTCTCTCTATTTCTGGCACTTCAGGACCTACTTTTCTTTATTTCTTTCGCTTAGTTATTTGTCAAGGTTTTCATGTGATATTCCTTGAGAATTATTATATTTAATGTGAGAAGAGAAACTTCTTGGACAGGTCCTACTGACCTGTTGCTGGAAGTCAAAGTCACCTGAATGAATCTTCTAACTTGGTTTCCAAATATCTTTAAATTAAAGACATACATATAGTCTTTAAAAGTATTTCCCAGCCAGGTGCGGTGGCTCACACCTGTAATCCCAGCACTTTGGGAGGCCATAGTGGGCAGATCACCTGGAGTCAGGAGTTCAAGACCAGCCTGACCAACATGGTGAAACCAAAAATACCAAAAATAATAATAATAATAAGCTGGGCATGGTGGCGCACACCTGTAATCCCAGCTACTCAGGAGGCTGAGGCATGAGAATCTCTTGAACCTGGGAGGCGGAGGTTGCAGTGAGCTGAGATTGCACCACTGGGCTCCCGCCGGGGCGACAGTGTGAGACTCTGTCTCAAAACAAAAAGTTTGTCCTGAGTATTGAAAAGATGGTTAGCAGGTACATCTTTGTCTCTCTTCTTTCCTTCTTCTCTATTACTATTTCTTAATATTCCTATAGGTGAAATACAACTCAAAACTACCAGCTTTTCTACTTGTTAGAAGGTTTCATAAAACATCTTCTGGAGAAAGAGCTTGGTACTGATCTCTAACACAGGGCTCAAGAAACTTCCCCCACATGCTTCTTTCCAAGGACCTCACACACCCACCCCAATATTCCACTTTAATTTAAATTTTTGCACCAGTAATTAACAAGAAAAAAACAAAACATATGAAGAAATAATAATAAGACACACATTTTCTGAAAATGAAAGCTCTATAATTGATCAGTGAGAAGAATCCTTCGTCACTCATTTCCCATCAACATGTTTAATAACTATCCGTGAACATTTTAAACGAGTTTAAATTTTTTAAACTAGTATAAATCTGCTGGCAAAGTTGTAGAAAAACAGGTGTTCTCATTGCTGACAGGGAATGTGAATTGGTTCAATACCCATGGAAGGCAATTTGGCTATATCTATCAAAATAATAAATGCACGTACATTTTGACCCATCAAATCTAGTTTGAGGACATTATTCTCCAGAAGTACTTGCATAAATATAGACTAACATATGTACATGACAAATAATTAGAGTACAGTTTGTATTATTTATTACTTAAGTGCTGGTACAATTCACCAGTGAAGCTATCTGGGCCTGGAGTTTTATTTGTCGGAAAGGTTTTTGTTACAAATTCAATTTTCTTAACGGATACATTTTTTAAAATTTCTTTTTGTGTCCATTTTGATAAGTTGTATTTTTCAAGGAATTTACATTTGTCCACTTCAATAAAGTTATTGAATGTACTGGAAGAAGATTGTTCCTACCATTTTATTATTAGCTTTTTTACTGTCTGTAGGATCTGTTGTGATTTGCCCTTTCATGCCTGATGACAATGATTTATGTTTTCTCTCTTTTTTTTTTTTTCTTAATTACTGTTACTTGGAATGCTATGGACAGAATCGTATCCCACCAACAATCATACATCAAAGCCCTACTCGGCAGTGTGGTGGTATTTGGAGAGCCTTTAGGAGATAACTAGGTTGAGATGAGGTTGTGAGGGTGTGGCCATCATGATGGGGTGAGTGCCCTTATAAAAAGAGATACCAGAGAGCTTGTGTCCCTCTCTCTCTTTGCCATGTGAGCACACAGCAAGAAGGCTACCATCTGCAAGCCAGGGAGAAAGTCCTCACCAGAATCCAACCATACTGGGATCCTGATCTTGGACTTCCAGTGTCTAGAACCAGGACAAAATAAGCTTCTGTTGTTTAATGCACCCAGTCTATAGTGTTTTGTTATGGCAGCCCAAGCTAAGACAAAGAGTTTATCAATTTTATTAATATTTTCAAACTATTAAACCTTGGCTTTGTTTGATTTTCTCTATTACTTGCCTTCTCCTTCATTGATTTTTTATATTTGTTATTTCCTTTCTGTACATACGAGTTTCATTTGTTCTTTTTTCAAACTTCTTTAAAAAGTTTGAAAAAAAGTTGGAAATATAATCAATTCTAAACTTTTCTTCTTTTTCTACTATTTATTTTTAATATTTAAAGCAAAAATTTCTCTGTTACCACTGTTTCAGGTACGTACCCCAAATTTCAATATTTGTGTTTTCATTTTCATTGATTTTAAACATTTTAAATGTATCATACTGTCTCCTTTTACTTGTGAATTATTTGCTGTTTTATTTCCAAACATTTGGTATTTTCTACATATTCAAATATCTAGTTTAATTCTGCAACAGTCAGAGAATATATTCTCTGAGATTTCCATTCTTTGGAAATTGGGACATTTCATAGCTCAGCATGTCTTTTCTCAACAAACATTTTACATGCACTTGAAAACAATGTGTATTATGCAGTTAGTAAACTTGGTGTTCTATAAATGCGAGTGAGCTCAAATTAGCTGATAGTATTCCTTAGATCTTCTTTATCCTTAGTGATTTTTATATACATGTTCTGTCAATTACTCAGTTATTCTAACTATAAATATGGATTTAGCACTTTTCCCTTTGGTGTTCTTAATTTTGCTTCATCTAGCTCTGTTATTTAGGGAATACACATTTAAGATTGAGGTCTTCTTGACAAAAAGACCCTTTTACCATTTGAAACGTCTTTTTAACTGATAATTTCCTTGTTTTGAAGTACATTTTATGCAGTAAAGCCACCCCAGCTTCCCTGTAATTTAAGTTTGCATTGTATATGTTCACTTTTCCATACTTTTACTGTCAATATGTAGAGGATCTACTTCTATTGACTGTTTTTTTTCCTCCTGATTATGGATCTCATTTTCCTGTTTCCTCACGTCTTGTGATTTTTTTACTGAATGTTACACATTGCATATAAGAGACACTCCAGGAGTGTTTTGTTTGTTTTTGTTTTTCTGGCGAGTGCAAGTCCTTTTCTCTCTCCCAGGTGGCTGGAATGAGAATCTGATCAGATTTCATCAAGAGTCAGGTTGACCTGAGACTGAGCTGCAGTGTTCAGTAAATTGAGTGCACCCCTGGTATCTAATGGAAACAAGGACATTTTACTTTGCTCCTCAGCCTAACCTCAATCTCCTATGTCACCACTGTATAATGGCTAGTTTGTTTGGTTTTATTGGTGTTTGAGCTGGAAGCAGGTTGAGACAGATTTCATATCATTTTCACTTACCTTACATCTAACGTGGCTCCAAAACTCAAGCACTATGAAATTGTTTAACTCTCTGTTTTCCAGCCCCGCCTCCACTGCCGCTTTTGAAGTAAAATCAGGGACAGGGGGTGACTGGTGAGCCCAACTATTTTTGCATTTGGTGGACTTCTAAATTCCAATCCATCTCCAAATCCTTTGGCAAATTTCTCCTCAAAGCTACAAAGTCTCTCATTGACAGAGGGCTGCTTCTCCACCTTCCCACACAGAAATCAGGTACTTTCCCTCAAGGATGAAAGAAGCTGTGGATTCTCTGCTCACCATCACTCCCGGTAATTCAGTTCATCAAAGCTTACCCTGTCCACTGTTATTTGATAATTGCTACCAAAAAAAGTATGATTTTCATTTTATCAGGGTTTTTGTTATTATTATCATATGAATAATGGTATTTTACGTTCTATATTTTAATTGGAAGCAGAAGCCATAGTGTTGTTTGTAATAGCAAATTATTGGAAAGAATCCAAATACCAATCAAAAAACGACTTTTAAATAAATGATTACACAATTATATAAAGGAATACTATGAAACTGTGTGAAAGAATAAAGAAACTCTTTGTTCACTTATATAGAAAGATCGCCACGATATTTTAAGAAAAGCAAAATGTAGAATAGTATGTAAACTATTCTACCTTATGTGCAAAAGGGAGAAGAAAAGTCATCAATATTCATGTAGATTCAATTCACCTATAGATTCCTATCACATTCATGTGTGTGTGTGTGTGTGTGTGTGTGTGTGTATATATGTATATATATAAAGTCTGAAAAGACACAAAAGAAATTAATAAAAGTTGCTACACCATTGTAGTTTGTAAAGTTTCTTGAGTCTTAAGACTCAGTTTCCACTTCTGTAGAATGGGATTAAAAATCCTTTCTTTATAGAGCTAAGTGATAAAATAAACCTAAGGCATGTGGCACACTTCAGGATAGCAATTTGTGGATTAATGATTGACACAGTCTCCTTTGCACCAGATTATACCCAGAGAGAGTCCTTCGTGGTTTTGTTTGTCAGTTACGAAATCTAAATCAGTCATTCAATTATGTTACAGCTGCAACACTCTATTTTTTTCTCTGGTACAGGCGTCTCCCTCTTATCTTCTTAACCACTTTTTGTGGCTCCAGTTACCCGTAGTCAACCACAGCTGGAAGATATGATAGTATTTTGAGAGACAGACCACATCCACAAAAGCTGTATTATAATACATTGTCACACATTACATTGTTACAGGTGTTCCACTGTATAATTATTTATTGTTAATCTCTTACTATTAAGCATTATGGTAGGTTTGTATGTACAGGAAACTACAGAGTATACAGAGTATACAGTGCTATCTGAGCTTTCAGGCATCAGCTGGGGGCCTTGGAATGTATCCCTCATGGATAACGGGGAATTACCATAAATTGTAAGCGGAGGCTGTGTCTTTCCAAAGCCCAGCAACCAAATTACCTACATGCAATGTCACGAAGCCTGTAAGAAAAAGTGAGTGTTTCCCATCAGATGGTGACTGAGGTAAGCAGTACCGTCTTCACCCGTGAAAGCTATGTGTACAAGAGCCCTATATCACTAAAGCAATGGCCTAAGACGCTAAATGCCCCGCCATCACTGATTCCGTTCAAAGCCAATAAAGAGACGCCATAAACCATTATGTTTATTGCCTCCTCTTTTCCAAGGCGTAATTCTTCAATGCATACACTTGGCATTAAAAGTCTCTATCAGGTTCTTTAAATACATAACCCATTAAAATGACTGATCCATGATTTCTGAGCATACTACATATAAATTATTATTCATATCCTTTTTTAGACAAATAATTATAAAGTTAGTAAAAGACCTAACTAGATGTTGCTATTGCTTCTCAGATCACAAAAAGGAGGCCTGGGGACGCCCTTTTCCAGACTGAAATGATGCTGCTAAGCAGTCCACCCACAAATAAATCTCACCAACCTAGGGTTTCTGGAATCAACAGACGGTGAACTTAAGGAACAGCAGAGCTGGGGCTGCTTTTTTTTTTTTTTTTTTTTTTTTTTTTTTTTTTTTTTTTTTTTTTTTGAGACGGAGTTTCGCTCTCGTTACCCAGGCTGGAGTGCAATGGCTCAATCTCGGCTCACCGCAACCTCCGCCTCCTGGGTTCAGGCAATTCTCCTGCCTCAGCCTCCTGAGTAGCTGGGATTACAGGCACGCACCACCATGCCCAGCTAATTTTTTGTATTTTTAGTAGAGACGGGGTTTCACCATGTTGACCAGGATGGTCTCGATCTCTTGACCTTGTGATCCACCCGCCTCGGCCTCCAAAAGTGCTGGGATTACAGGCTTGAGCCACCGCGCCCGGCCTGGGGCTGCTCTTAAGGCCCTGCTGTCCCTCCTCTTAGTAACAACGCCATTTCACATGAGGAAGACAGTGGTATCTTTTGTTCCCCTGGAAATGCAATGCAACAGTAGCTTTCCAACTTTTCTGCGGCAGAGACCTACAGCCAGCAGGACATTTTACACTGGACCCAGGACACACATCGGTCTGAAAGCACACACGTGAACCAAACATTTCCTAAAGCATCACTTACCCTTGCTCATAGCAGCACACTCTAATATTCTTTTATACTTCATTCCACTTCATTTAAAAAAGAAAAGGAAAGGAAAGAAATCTATTTCTCAGCCCATTAATAAGGTCAGCAACGCTAGACTAGAAAGAAGAAAAGCTTACCTGCCCGTTTTTTCCCACCGCCTGCGTGGGCACAGCTTTTCGCCAAGTCTTAGCGCCACCTACTGTGCGCTCTGGATGTTGCAATTGCTTTTTTTTTCTTTGGCGGGCACAGATTTTTTTTTTTTTTTTTTTTTTGCAATGAGATTAAATCAGAGGACACAAAGAATGTCTTCCCCTGCAGTGGAAATGGTTCTGAAAGGGTTTAAGGAATAGCTTAGATGAGTGGCTAACACATTATCCCAGTTCCCAATTCTGAATTCTAAGACCACAGGCTCCGTGTCCAGTCCCCAAAGAGAGGCTTTGCAAGCTACAGAATACGCCTCTGACTGGGACCTCAGGAGCGAAACCGACCACAAAATTGGCTTCTAGAAAGCGAAACATTTTAATTTGAGACATGAGAGGTGAGCATTTTGTGAAAAGCTACTGTCGTCCAACAAATACGACACGGCCAGGGATTCATCACTCTATTGCCCTGTCAATCCTGCTCTACAGTATTTTGACACAGCAGTTCGTAAGTGTTCACTCTATTCTAACTTGTTCCAGAAGCCCTTCAAGATGATAGATAGCACAATATTGCTGTAGCCAGAGGTCGAATGTAGAGCCCTCTTTTGCTTCTTTGTGAATGATCCAGAATTTCCATGTTGACAAGCCATCACAATTTACAGAATTTACTTTTTATATTCAATAGAAATTTAAAAAAAAAATTACCTAACTAGGGAGTTATAGCTCTGGGTTCATTTCTGACCAAAATGTGCTTTTGACACAAATACAGTTGTAAATACCTTTGTAATTTCTCCATAGTCTGCCTAGATAATCATAAAAGAGCTGCATGGATATATTTGTGAGTAAGAGCATGTGTCCATTCAGCAAAACCAAAGAGATCAACTTCATCTACCACTGCCTTAAAACGGAGACACAGCCAACAATTTGAATTTTCCCCAAAAGATTGTATGTGTGAAAATAAGAATAAAATGAGGAAAATTTAAAAGCTTATAACAATTTCAGCCACAACTTGGCAATTAGAATTTTTATGAGGTGTCTTTAATTTGAAAGCAAAGAAGAATTAAATTATTGAAGGCTGGAATCTTTTCTTTTTTTCTATTTGAATGAAACAATTGATTTTCCCCAAAAGATTTGACTTTAAGAATTTTCAGACAACATAAGTCAGGGTATGGTTCAGTGACACAGAGAGAAATTGTAGTGAAATTTCAATTAGTGTTCCCTGTAATAATTACCCACAAAGGATCACAGTGGGGCCACTCCTGCATTACAATTATAGTATGGAATGTAAATTATTATTAATTAATCAGAGGTGCCAGGGGCTTGTCAGTTTTCAACTGTTATTTTGAGGAAAGCTGAATTTTCTCTCTTTTTGCCAGCTATTAATATTATTAAATTTCAACAGTAAGGCAAAAAAAGGAAATATGGACCATTAACTAATGGCTCTTGAAGAGGCATTCAATGACTCCAACTTGCCCTAAAACTGCCAAGTGATAGGACAGTCTCTTCACATCTTGCATCATTTTCTGCCATCACCTACGTGTGATTCGTGAGTCGGAAATTCAACCGGGATGTGTTTAACGTATAGTAAGAGCACCCTTCCCAGGGGAATTCAATGGGCTGTTCCATCAGGCAGTTGGCAAGCAGTCACTTAAAACATTAAGAAATATTATTTGTAAGCCGGGCGCGGTGGCTCACGCCTGTAATCCTAGCACTTTGGGAGGCTGAGGTGGGTGGATCACCTGAGGTCAGGAGTTCAAGACCAGCTTGGCCATCATGGTGAAACCCCATCTTAAAAAAAAAAAAAAGAAAAGAAGTATTATTTGTCTCACACTGATTTATTGCACAATAGCAACTTTTTTCTTTTTGGTTCATTTTTAAAACAACTGTCAAATTAAAATGCCACATAGCTTTAAACATTAGCATTTTCACCTTATAACCTTACAAGTGCATCACTAAACATCTGCATAAAAGTTCAGCTCGATGATAATCACCTGGGAATTACCTGCATAGTACTAAGCATATATGTAAAAATGTTACTGATAGGTACCTCTGGCACTTTGAAGTGACAAAGTGTAGTCTTCACAGATACTTATCAGTTAATCATCAATAGTTACCTGATAAGTGCCCACCTGCTATCATTCAAGATCAACCAGCCAGACACCACAGTACATTTGCCATCAAAAAAACCTTCTCTATCTGGTCAGTCCCTGCAGGTCAATGAGACAAAGCTGTGTAATTCACGAAGCAGGACTGTCCTGAGCTCCCTGTGTTCTCACCACCAGGCTGAGTGGCGGGGGTGGAGGAACACGGGATCGGGTGTGAGCTTCTCTAGGGACTGAAACATTAAGGGAGAGATGAGGATATGAAAGGTGAGAAAATTATGGTTTATTTCCAATGTTTCCATTTATGTTAAAAGCAATGCTTTCAAAAGAAAAAAAAATGCAGCAATATAATTGTGTAATGTACAAAATAATTTCAGGATTTGTTTAATCATTAATTTGTGGTGTGATCTGTTCATTGGATCTATGTCTAAGCTCCTTTGTAAATAACTTCAAATATCCAAGCCTTCTCTCACCCTCTCCCCACCTCACCTCTCCTCCTTCTCCTCCCCTACTCTGGAGGACACTATGTACATACATATAATGTCCTGCCCTAGAGGAGAACTGAGCCTCCTTGGGAAGAAAACACCAACTCCCAGAAAAACAACAGAAATCATACAAAACAGAATAAAAGCAAGCACTGATTTGTAAGTGAAGACTTAAGTGCTGTAGGACTTCTAGTTACAAATCCTGAAAATGTGGGGTGGCTGTGATAACACGATTAGCCAACATCACACAGTGATTTTGCACATAAGGAGAACTAAGTCAAAGAGAACTAGGAAAAGAAAGTTGAGCCTATAATCGTGATATCATCGGCACTAAAATCTCAGGTGACATTTTTCACTGGGGAAAGTCAGTCAACGTCCAATTTCGAAACCATCTTTACTAGCGAGCTTCCCACAATGGTTCTAGGACTTTCCTTCATTCCAACCCAACCAAGACTCCAGCAGACTCATAAACAGCACAGCCCTTGAGAAATTAAAGGGAGAACCCACCAGCCGGCACCCTACTCCACCCCATCCCAAGTCACCTCTGGCTCAACCAAGATGAGCTCAGGCCAAGGAAGCTGCCCCACCCCGAGGGCTTTGCCTGTCATTTGTAACAAGCCGACTCAGCACATCTCTCAGATGGACCATGCAAGGATTTTGGCAGCTCTTGGGGCTTTGCCTCTTCATGAACAGACATTCCTCTTAGATTAAGACCTGGAGCTTGAGTATAGGTGGTAACCATGGTACAAAACTCACGTTCGTCCCTGCAGAAACTGCCTGGGTTGGCCCATGGCCACGGGGTGCCAGTTTTTCAAGGAAAAGTCAACACTAATGGTGGCAATCACGGGAAATCCATTCTGAGGCCAGATCTGACTTGTCAGGATCAATCACCATTTCCACTTAACTTCGAAATGACCTGGGTAAAAACGTGAGCACGGGGGGGCAGGCTGCACCTCTGACCTGGCTCCCTTCTGCAGGAATCCCCAAGCTGGTGCGGGGGGGGGGGGGGGGGGGGGGGGGGGAGGCGGGGGGCAACCGGCCTGCTCTGCACGTCTTAGTCCCTCATCGACTCGCGCTGTGCAAATCCGTCTTCTGTCATTTGTATCTCAAGACATCAAAATCCCCAACCAAATAGCTCATAATCCGAGATAAAGCTTCGAGGTCTCCAGAAAGCCCCTAGCCGTGCACGGGAGAGCCAGCCGCCCAGAGGTCTTCCGCAGAATCCCATCAGTTTCCCCTTTCATGGTGTACACCTGGCCAGAGAGGGGTTGGCAGATTTCACCCGCACTCTTTTCTTTCTGAAAAATCTGGGTCTCCCCACCCCAAAACAAGTTCCCCAAATGTGAAAAGAGGAAGCAGCTGGCTGGGCCGGAGGCCGCGGGGGTCGCCCTCCGCAGACTGCCGGACGCCATAGCAAAAGCGAGGCTTATCTCCCTCACCACCCCCAAACCTTAGTCCTTGGCACAGCGTTGAAAGTGATTGAATCAAACAGGAAATTCGAGGAGACGTTCGTTCGGGTTAGCTAGTGAGGTTTTGAGGGGAGAAAGAAGAGTACCAGCGGCACCCCCTCCTCACCCACCCTTAACCCCCATTCCAGAGGGCACTGCCCCGCGACCCAGCCTAGGTCACCCCGCGCAACCTCCACGACTTGACCAGATCTTCAGTCCTTGGATAAACGCCTGTTTCTCTAACAATAAAAAATTAAAGCAGCGCTCTAAATGCAAGTCCTCTCGCACTAGGCGGAATAGAGAGGACAACGGCCACAGCCATCCCTGAACGCGGCCCTCCGCCCAGCGCCAGAGCCAGGGCCTGGGGCGCCGCGTCCCGGAGGGTCCCGACGCTCAGCCCCCCCGGCTCCACCCGGCCGCCGAGGGACTGGGGGAGGAGGCGCTCGGGGTACCCGAGGAGGAGACTTGGGGCTCTGGGGGCACTTGGGGGACTCATGGGGGCTCAAAGGAACTCAGAGACTCGAGGCCTCAAAGTGAACTCAGGGGATTCGGGGCTCTCGGGGGTCTCGGAGGGCGCTCGGGGGTTCGCGGGCCAGGGACGCTCTGGGGACTGAGAGGCCGGGCGCGCCCCGCCCGCGGCGCCGCCCCCTCCGTAACTTTCCCAGTCTCCGGGCGAAGAGGCGGGGTGTGGGGTGCAGTTAAAAGGCGCCGCGGCGGGAGACAGGTGTCGCGGCCCCGCAGCGCCCGCGCGCTTGTCTCTCGGACTCCGAGCCTCTCGGCTGCGCCGGGCCCAGGACCCGCCCAGGAGCGCGGGAGCCCCAGCGCCGAGACCCCAGCCCCGGCCGCTGCCTCCCGACGCAGGTGAGCCCGCCGGCCCCGGACGGCAGGGCCTGGAGCCCGACGGGGACCGACCGCGAGACCTGGAGGGGGTTCCCGGCCGCGGGGGTCCCGAGGAACCGGGAGGCTGGACCATCGCACGTCCTTGGGGCTGGGGGCGAGGGCCGCCTTCCGGAGCGGGCGTTTCTGCTGAGCTCGGGAGCTGGAATCGGGCGGCCGGGCCGGACCCGCCGTGGCGCGCCGGGGAAGGGGACGCGGTGGCACCGCCCGGGGTGCGAGTGGGGCTGGGCGCGCGCGGGAGGGGAAGGGAGCGGGGACGAGCGGGCCGCGAGAGGTCCGTGGTGTCGCCGACGTCCCTGCGGGGTACTCTAGCGCAGCCGCCTGGCTACTTGACCCACTGACACCAAATGTTTTCAATTGACCGAAAGCTTAGCTTCGAAGCAAAGCTCCGTTTCTCCGGCGAAGCAGGAAGCCTCCGCTGCAGGAACTGACCTTTACCTCCTGGAGTGGCTCCTGCAGAGAAAGCGCTCGGGAAGAGGTCTGGGCGGAGTTTGCCTGGAACTCACGCGGAGCCGGCAGACCCTGGCCCGTCCTGGGGCCAAGATTTCGGGGGCTTCCCTTTTTCCTAAACAAACACTTCGAGAGGGTTTGTTTCGGGGTGGGGGGGTGTTCTCCGACTGGAAGGAAAATGTTTAAGATCCATGTTCGCAAAGAAGTGGTGTGCGGCTGGGAACCGCGTCCTCAGGACCGTTGCCTGAGCGCCTCGATCCTGCCCCGCTGGAGAACGAAGGCAGCCCGAACGGCGCTCACCTAACAGTTGCTGAGAGCTGGGCTCTGTGGCCATGCATCTGGGACTGCCCTGAGAAGCGTGAGACGGCCGTGTCCCCATGTGACCTTTGAGTTCCTTTCAAAACTGCTGTACAAAGTCGGTCACAGTTCAGACACTGGCGAGAAGGGTGGAGGAGCCCTCTGGGGCAGCCAGGCAAGGTGGACCACCCATCACCTAAGGGTGGAGAAGTTAAGGGGTGAAGAGTCCCTTTTGCCTTTTCTGGAACCTGTTGATCCACCCAATGTCTTCCCCAAGGAACTGAACCAGCTCCTCCGCAGGCTCTGGCGACACTCCAGGCAGTGCAGGGTGTCGTCAGCCCAGTAGGAAGCTGCCTGTGACCGCCCAGGGTCAGTAGGCCAGGAGGGCAGAGCCTCCCTGACTTGAATGTTGAAAACAACTTCATCCTTGCTACTGAGGCCCTCTTAACCCAGGACCCCTAGCCCACTGGGGAGTCAAATTTTAATGTACTCGTCTTCTTGAAAAAGGATCTTTAAAACAGGTAGCTTCAGCTCAGGCTTTGCAAAAACAATATGGGGTTTCTTGGAACTGTAGTCTTCTCAGCCGATAGTAACTGGACGGGTCTGTAGAAGGCTATATAGGACCTGTGTCTGGCAGGTGGAAGAGGGCAAAGGAGAAACCCCTCCTACTGCAGCCCGGTGTTCTCAGCCAGGTAGATTGCTGTAATAAACCAGGAGAGAGTTACTCCAGGGAGTGTCCTCTTTTCCACTCAGTGAGGGCCAGTGAAGAATGTACAGTTCCATAAGATGCTTTTGTTAAAATCCGAATGTTGCTGCCCTCCGTGGTTCTGCTGTTGGGACGGGACTGGCCTGAGCTGTGGGCACTTTAACAGGATAATCAGCTCACCTGAGGGCCTCCCAGACAGTCTGGATTTCAATGGGTCAGTGCTGAGCCTGGGCTAAAATATTTTTTCCAATGATGTTTCTTTCCCAAGCTCAGTGGGGCTACATGTTTCACGGGCCTATGTCAATCTGATGTAGCTTTAGTGCCCACCTCTCTCCTGTCACCTCTGACCAAGGTGGCACTGGATGGTTTGCACCTGACCTTGGTGCCCCATGGCAGTGACTGTGGGTCATTGGCGACATTCACTCTGAGCCTGCCTCCGGAGTCCATCAGAAAACAGGATGCAACTTGCTAAAATGAGGAGAGGAGGATGCTTTTAAGTAAAAGAAGGAGGATTCAGTACCAACTCTAAAAGGGTGGAAAGGAGATGATTCATCTGGATTGTGGAGAGGATGGAATCTTGTTTAGGAGAGTGTTGGTTGTGACAGGCAGGGTGTAACTATGAATCAGTGAAGACAGTTCACATCTGGGATGAAAAGAAGGCCACTGGCTTACAGCAGATTATCCACGGGCTTTTTCCCACATCCACTCGCAGTAAGGAGTGTGGGACCCCCGCAAGCTTCAGCACTGAACTGCAATGCAGTGATGTCGCTTAGCTGGGCCAGTAACTGGGGGAGCAGAATCTTCTGTCACTTTTAAATAATACGTCTTTTAAGAAACACCTTGAAATTAAAATTACAGCCCACAATTATAAGGCACTGTTGCAGTACTTATCAAAACAGATATCTCTGAGTGCTAACCGATCCCTCAGCGCCAGCCTGACAGTGAGGCCACCAAGCTATCCACAAAACCTACACGGAAGTCTATGCTCACAGTGGCTTTTCTCCCTGAAGAGGCCGTTCCTAACCTCTTCCTTACATGTAGAAGGAAGCAAGGGCCTTTGTAAAATTTTAACTTGGGGCACTTCAAATGTAAACTTAACCACTGGTAACAGTTTCACTGCTACATGCAAAGTCTGTGATAATTAATTCAAAGACAAAGTGGCTCAGCAGAGAGTCTAGATTGGGGAGTTGTAAGTTACATCTTAACCCCGTGGTTCTCCTGTACTTGGCCACTCAGCCTTTGGGCGAGGTTGGGCCAAGCTAGTATCAGCCCCAATGGTACACAGCCACAACTTGAGACTGCAAATGGATCCAGCTGTTGAACGCTGAGTAACTTGTGCAGAGTCAGGAAGACCCACAGAGGATCTGCAGAGGGTGCAGCGGTCCGGTCAGAACTCATGAGTGCCTTTCCCCTAACAAGCACTTTGTTTGTGAGACTGCCCGACACAGCAAATTTTTATGATGTGATTAAAGACTGGGTGAATTACTCAGGTGAACAAGCTACTCTTTATTAGAGCACTCCCAAAAACATGTTCAAGATTGTTTGGGAACTATACATTTAATCCGATGACAAACTAAGTTGGTTCTGTCTTCATCTGCTTTGGTGACGTTACGTAAGAGTTGGTGTTTGCCCAGGAGGAAATTTAAGCATGCTTGCTTACCCACACCCAGAGAAGTCTCCCTGTTCTGTCCTAACTAGCGATTCCTGTGTTGTATGCATTTGTCTTTTCCAGAGCAAACCGCCCAGAGGAGAAGATGGATTGGAACACGCTGCAGACGATCCTGGGGGGTGTGAACAAACACTCTACCAGCATTGGAAAGATCTGGCTGACCGTCCTCTTCATTTTTCGTATTATGATCCTCGTTGTGGCTGCGAAGGAGGTGTGGGGAGATGAGCAGGCCGACTTTACCTGCAACACCCTGCAGCCCGGCTGCAAGAATGTGTGCTACGACCACTACTTCCCCATCTCCCACATCCGGCTGTGGGCCCTGCAGCTGATCTTCGTGTCCACGCCGGCCCTCCTGGTGGCCATGCACGTGGCCTACCGGAGACACGAGAAGAAGAGGAAGTTCATCAAGGGGGAAATAAAGAGTGAATTTAAGGACATCGAGGAGATCAAAAGCCAGAAGGTCCGCATCGAAGGCTCGCTGTGGTGGACGTACACCAGCAGCATCTTCTTCCGGGTCGTCTTCGAAGCCGTCTTCATGTATGTCTTCTACATCATGTACGACGGCTTCGCCATGCAGCGGCTGGTGAAGTGCAACGCCTGGCCTTGTCCCAACACTGTGGACTGCTTTGTGTCCCGGCCGACGGAGAAGACTGTCTTCACAGTGTTCATGATTGCAGTGTCTGGAATTTGTATCCTGCTGAATGTCACTGAATTGTGTTATTTGCTAATTAGATATTGTTCTGGGAAGTCAAAAAAGCCAGTTTAATGCATGGCCCAGTTGTTAGATTAAAAAATAGACAGCATGAGAGGGATGAGGCAACCTGTGCTCAGCTGTCAAGGCTCAGTCGCCAGCATTTCCCAACACAAAGATTCTGATCTTAAATGAAACCCCTGTAGGCCTCACGTGAAACTCCAGATACCACAATGGAGCTCTACTCTCCTAAAGCCTCAAAACAAAGGCCTAATTCTATGCCTGTCTTAATTTTCACTTAAGTTAGTTCCAATGAGACCCCCAGCTGGTAGGGGTTATTGGTGTAAGGTACTTTCATATTCTAAACAAAGGATATTGGCATTTGTTTCTCTTTCTCTGAGGACAAGAGAAAGGCCAGGTTCCATAGAGGACTCGGAGAAGGTCTGGGTGTCCTCCTGGGGTTCTTTTTGCCAATTCCCCCCACATTAAAGATGAACATAGAGAATCTTGGTACTTTTATTCACTTTGGACGTTTTAATCTCTAACGGTGGACAAAGTTACCAGTGCCTTAAACTCTGTTACATTTTTTGTAAGTGAAAACTTTATAGTACGATAGGTTATTTTAAGGTAAAGATGTTCTGGATATCATTATATGCACCCCTGTTTCAGAGGCTCAGACTGTGATATGTAAATGGGATGTCATTAGCTACTATGGTTTCATTTGAAATACGGCCTTTTGGTTGTGACTACTTTGCAGTGCAGCTGAAAGGCTGTCCGTTGCATTCATTGTGGTCACAGCACCTGACAACACTGCAGCCTCAATCGAGTGAGACAGACTAGAAGTTCCTAGTGACGGCTTAAGATAGCAAATGGCCTCATGTCGAATATTTAGATGTAATCTTGTGTAAGAAACCCAGACTGGATGTACTGCCAGCTACGACCTGTAACGACGGGCCTGCTCAACATGGCTCCCTCTCCCATGACTGTGGGACATGGCAACCAGCATCAGAAGGAGCGCTGATTTAAAGAGGTCGCTTGGGAATTTTACTGACACAGTACCATTTAATGGGGAGGACAAAATGCGGCAGGGGAGGGAGGCGTTTCTGTTGTTAACAAACAGATTTGGAAAGACTGGATTCTACATTCTCTTGATTAAAGATGAGCTTTGTCTACTTCAAACGTTTGTGTGCTTCCGCCTTCAACCTCCAACTTTTTAAGTGAAAATAGAGCTAATAACACTTGAGAAGAATAGAAGCTAAGGTTTAGATAAATATTGAGCAGATCTATAGGAAGATTGAACCTGAATATTGCCATTATGCTTGACACGGTTTCCCCAAAAATGGTACTCCACATACTTCAGTGAGGGCCAGGATTTTCCTGCCGTCAAGAATGGCATGGAAAAGCATTTTGTGGTAATAAATAATAGCTTTAATGATATGCTTGAAACTAAAATAATTTTGTAATGTGTCAAATACATTTAAAATATTAAAATATCTATAATAATTCAAAATCGAATATAGTTTCAATAGAACAGCAAATATTAATTTCATCTGTCACTGTTTTTATATAAGTGCATTCATATTTTATATTTCATAACACCAATGGGTAAGTTACCAGGGTGCCTGCCCCCATTCTGCCCCAGTTATAGAAAAGCCTGTCACCAGGAAGATTGGTGGGGAAGGAAGGGAGGAGGATGATTTCTGCCCAACCCCGTGCCCCCCTCTACCGAGTTTTTGAGGCACATCGATCTATGGACAATGTGGCGTGTGGACTAGAAACATAGCTTGGGAAATGCTAGGCCGGGTGGACATGACCAGTTTAGCTCCTGGATGAATCACAGAAGTGGGCCTTCAAAATGTCACTCATGGCATGACCTCGGCTCACTGCAAACTCTGCGTCCCAGGCTCAAGTGATCCTCCCACCTCAGCCTCCCAAGTAGCTGGGACAACAAGAGTGTGCCACCATGCTCCACTAATTTTTTCATTTTTTGTAGAACAACGTCTCATTATATTGCCCAGTCTAGTCTCGAACTCCTGGGCTCAAGGGATCCACCTGCCTCAGTCTCCCAAAGTGCAAGGATTACAGGTGTGAGCCACTGTGCCCAGCCTGAAACTGCTTTTTATTCCTGAATGCCCACTTCCATGGGAAATAAGCCCACCCGATCAGCCTGTCCCCATGGGAGTGACTGCCTGCTGCCCCACAGTCTTGCCCGGCCCTCAGGAGGCTCTCCCCGAGGTGCCACCAACAGTTCTGTTCCTTCACGATACAAGCTTTCCATCCAAGAATTGCAAAGCATTTCATATATCAATAATTAGAAGCATTTTTATAGAGGACCATACACTTCTTAAATGGATTTCAAAGAACAAAAAACAATCACCTTTCACCCAGGTAACAGAAAATGGGAAATAGTTTCCACCTGACTTCCAAGGTGCTCCACACACAGACTGTGAATATAACAGGATTTTTAAAGCTGGGTGCAGAGGCTTACACCTACAATCCCAACACTTTGGGAGGCTGAGATGAGAGGATCACTTGAGTTCAGGAGTCCAAAATCAGACTGGGCAACATAGAGAGACACCATTTCTACAAAAAATAAAAATGTTAGCCAGGCAGCTGTGGTGACATGCACCTGTAGTCTCAATTACTCAGGAGGCTGAGGTAGGAGGATTGCTTGAGTCTGGGAGGTCGAGGCTGCAGTGAGCCATGATTGTGCCACTGCACTCCAGCCTGGACAACAGCAAGATCCTGTCTCAAGCAACATCAAAAAACACAGAACTTTTAAAATAAGTACATTCACTCCTACAAGCTTTGTAGAGTATTACTCTCAAGCTATTAAAAGACCAAGCCAAAATAATTACAGGCTCCTCTCCACCACTTGTAGGAATGCACAGAGAGGTCTGGTCTCATGCCTGGAAATTAGAGCTTGAGCTCTGAGAATGATAATCCTAATTGTATATGTCAAAGTATCAGTTTGCACTTTGTTCAGAGCAAGAGAAAGCCTTATGGAGGTAGCCTGCCACCCAGCCAAGCCCTCGGCGTGGACAAGCTCTTTTTATGAGCAGTGGGTGCAGCTCAGCTGCTTCCTTGGCCTGTGTGAGGCTCATGAACAAACTGGGAAACGTGGTCTCAAACAACCCTCCGGAAGGGGAGCCCATCAAAAGACAGGCACAGCTGGGTGAGCGGGCGGGCCCACTGGGAGGCCCACTGACAACTAGGGAACAGCTGAGAGGTGGGTAAGAGCTCACTCGATTACCCCTACCTCAGTGTCTTCATCTTAAGATGGGTATCCTGAATCTTCCCTAGGCTTAATGGCAATGAACAAAGATAAGGTATGTAAATGCTGTCCACATAGCAAAACACTAAGTAATGACTGTCATCTGTTTTCCACTAGGCGGATCCCAAGTTGGGAGGGTGACAGATGGTATTTCAGATACAAGTGACTCAAGCAAAGCTTGATAAACCGAGGGCTGGAAAAAATGCACATTTACACAAAGCCTGGAGTAACTGTAGCATGGGCAGGCGGGACTAGCCACATAATCGAGGGGAGGGATGGCTGGGGGCAAATAGAGCAGCAAAAAAGTGGTGACAGCTATGCGACTTTGCAATTAAAGAAAGGTCAACAGAGTAACAGAGGCCATCGGCTCATCCGGCCAGGGTCTCTACACCTTCCACACATCTCACCAAATGCTTTTCCCATATTACCTCATTTGCACCTTGCAGCAGCGCTCTGAAGTACTAGGCTGTCAGAGAGTGTTATTCCCGCTGAAGGCAACAGGAAGGCGCCGCGCAGAGAGGTCACAAATCAGAGGCCAGGGCAGCCGGTCCTACCACACAGAGGATGCGGACTGCACTTCTGCAATTCTCTGGTGCATTTAATTCCTGAATCCAGTCACCAGCACAGCAGGAACACCCCAACTGCCCCAGTGTTGACAGGGTCCTGGGGAAACCCCAACTTGGTAAGGCACTGTTCCATTTCATCTCATGGCTAACGGTTCATTTTCCCAGCCAATATTTACTGAGTGCCACAAACTGTTAGGGGCTGGGGCCGTAGCTATCAACAAAACAAAACCTCAGGCGTCGCATTGAAGGAGGCTGGCTCTCAACAGATCCCTGTAGGTGGTACCTGCTGCAGGTAATTTAAATGGAGGAAAATAAGACGTCATGAGGGAAACGGGAAATTGCAATGTAACTAACAGGAGTGGTCAGGGAGGGCCACCACTAAGAGATCTGGAGGGCCACCACTAAGAGATCTGGAGGATACAGGGCCGCAAGTCACACGGGTCTCTTAGGGAAGCATCCCGGTGAGATGGAAAGGCCAGGATGCCAGAGAGTCAGGGTGAGAAGCTGGGAGATGAGGCCAAGGAGGGCGAGGCTGGGACAGATGGCGCTGGCCACGCAGGCCACTGGGAGGACTCACTGTTTTAAGACTGAATTCTAGTATCTGCTCTCCAGCACTTGTTGTGCCCTCTGCTGGACCCAAAGTCAGTCTATTCTCCACTTGAGAACAGCACATCGAAGTTCAACCCAGACTTTATTGTCCTGCTCCACAGCCCCACATTCCCCAGCTGATCATTCCTTCACACATTCAACATTAAGCAACTACCACATACCACCGTACTAGGTACAGGCTGCCTTCAGCTTCCCTAAGAAAACGCACGCTCTGACAGTCAAGCAGTGGTAACTGTGCCAGGAGCCTCCTCCTCAAGGCAGGAGCAATACTCCGGTCCACAGTGTCCTCCGAGAAGGCAGATGGCCTCCTGTCCTCAGCGCAGCCCCGACATGGCCAAGCCACAGGACCACTGTTCTGGACACCACATTATGTATTGCTCACGTGACTCAGCCTTTTAACAGCCCTATCACTTTTGCTGGTTTCAAAATGAAAAGGTAGCCAATGTGATTTTTGTAATTATAGGATCTTTAAAAACATTTTTACTTAAATAATATAGAAGTATACGAAGTCAAAAGTGAAAGTCTCATTTCACTCTCATGCTTGGAAGTTTCAGTATTAACATCTGGATTACATTTGTCCAGTTCTTCCCCCATGCAATTGAATATACTAATGCTTATACACATAGACACACAACACACATGACCAGGTTGACTTGCATTTCTTAAATCACTTTTTCTACGATAGTTTCCCAATTAGTAATATGCCTTGGAAGTCCTTCCAGGTCTGGCCAGGCGTGGTGGCTCATGCCTGCAATCCTAGCATTTTGGGAGACCGAGGCAGGTGGATCACCTGAGGTCAGGAGTTCGAGACCAGCCTGGCTAACGTGGTAAAACCTCATCTCTACTAAAAAAACATACAAAAATTAGCTGGACGTGGTGGCACATGCCTGTGGTCCCAGCTGCTTGGGAGGCTGAGGCAGGAGAATCACTTGAACCCGGGAGGTGGAGGTTGCAGTGAGCCAAGACTGCACCACTGCACTCCAGCCTGGGCAACAGAAGGATACGCTGTCTGAAAAAAACAAAACAAACAAACAAACAAAACCCCACAAACAACAACAAAAAAGAAAGGCTTTAATGTCTGCATGTATAGAAATGTGTTCTTTTAACAATGTACAACACCTCATTGAAAGTTACTGGACCATCTCCTTGTTAAGAGAGAGCATCATTGTCTCCCATTCTTCACAAAGTCTACCCCCCCGCCAGACCCCTATTTTTCTAACCTAAATTCAGGGCTTTACATTTTCCCTGTTACATTTCATGTTTCTGGTTTAGGCTCATCCTTCTGGTCCATCCAGATCTTTTTGAATCCTGTCTTCAGTTTACTAGAATTCATTCCAACTTTATGTCATCTGTCAGTTTAATGAGCGTGCTTTCTCTATGGTCACTTAAGCCAATAAAAATGTTGAATAAGGAATGCCACCAACAACTTCCTTCTAGCTTAACATCAGTTCATTTACCAACATGATTCAAGTTTGGAGTTTTAAGGATACATGTACTTAGCCAAATCTCATCTACAAGTTTCCATTTCATAGTAGGGATATTATGGAAGGCTAAGCGTTTTTGCAAAAAAGCTAAGTGTATCCACCATTTGATTAGCTATTTCAAAAACACATTTATGGAGATCCTCATTTGTGTAGAGCATTATTCAAGGCCTCTGAAGAACACAAAGATGATTTCGAAAGAAGGTCACAGTGCAGACAGCGGGTGTGTATATAAGATGGTTACTTCACAAAACAGGATGTGGGAAGCTGGACGTGACAGGCACATCAAAGCCTCCAGAGTTCAGGGCACGAAATTGTTTCTTTTGGGGGTCTTCAGGAACAATTTCATGAAGGCTAAATCATGAAAGGTGGCAGACTTTTGCCAGGAAATAAAAACGGAGACTAGTAGTTAGTTTGGCCTTTTCGGTTTCTTTAAGAAGCGAAATAACTTATCAAGGACTTGATGTTGGCTGATGGGTCTCTCGGGAACCCGGTGTGCGGACTAGCGCCTGCGGGGATGTGCAAAGCCTCTCTCTGCTGCCATCTGCCGTCTTACGAGCAGTAACTGCAAGAG